CGCGCACACACACACATGCACACACACACACACACAGGCACACACACGCGCGCGCACACACACACAGGCACACACACACATGCACACACATACACACACACACACACACACACACACACACACACACACACCGGTGCGTGAATGCAGCAGTCGCTCAGTTGGTTTATTGTCTGAATGGAGACTACAATATGCACTCCGGTAGGTAATGTAACTCTTGTTCCTGCAGGCAGCTATTCTCAACTTCATCCCAGGCTTTTCTTCAGAGTCAGAAGGTCCGCAGCTTTTTTCGGTCAATATCATCGGAGTCTCAACATAGTCTCAGTAAGTGCCTTCTGTTCCTCTGTGGAAATCTGGGAAATGTTGTTTTGTTTTGTGTTTTGGTTTTTTGAAGGGTTTGGTTTTTGCTTGGTTTTTGTGTCTTACTGTGCCATCTTGTTGTTCAAATTTGAAGAATTTTAGTTAAAAGTTAAGGAATAGAGATATGCAATTAAGAAATATTTGTCCTTTTTAGTGAACTTTACACTGCACCTTTAAAGATACTGATAGAGCTGGGGCAGTAGAACTCTGCCCTTCAGTCCTTGGCAGAGCTGCCTTACAGAGCTGCTGGCTGCACCGGGCAGGGTGTACAGTGTCCCTTCCTCCTGGAGTGCCATCTAGTGCTGACTTTTGCAGTCCCTTAGCCTGACCGTCCCATGCGACCTCTACATAGTCAGAACTTAAAGACCAGCCTCTGCTAGACAAAGGTTGCTGTATTTTTTTTATCCCTTCCCAGCCTTTCTGTTGTTTTGGGTAAGCTTTTAGTTCCTAGAGTACTGCTTAAAAATGCTAGCTTATCTTGGGACTATTCTGGGAATAAATTTTATTTGTTAATCTTTGATAAAAATTTTAAAAGTTTGATAAATCCAGATGTTAAATGAAAGTCCTTGAGCTTCCCTTGGACCCCTTGGCTGTAGCTACTTGCAGGTTCCGCTCTTCCTAGAGCCTGTGACTCACTGTTTTGGTATCTCCATCTCTGCGTCCATCTTGTCAGGGCTGTCCCAGATTGAAGTATGGCCTCTTCAGGAAGTTTCCCCACTCTTGCTTCTATGTGTTGTTTTGCTTTCCTGTTTCAGTGTTCATCAATCCTGTCTTGTGTCAATTTTCTACAAATTCTCTGCCTGACTTTTAAACAGATGTTTTGCCAATAATGCTGATATATTCCATAGATGTTTTTTACTCACTTTTTAAGCACAGCCAATATTTTAAGGAACTTTTTTCTTTATTTTTTTTTTAATTTTCATTTGTCTTTGTTTTATACCTAAAAGAAAAGGAAAATATATGCCTCCTAAGTTTGAGGTATGAAAAAAGATGAGAAATGGGATTAACTGTTGAGCGCGATCCTTTCAGAGTTTGACTAACTGCTGAAGGGGTCCGTGTGCTGTGCGCGCCTCCCATAAATGTTAGGAACCTGGTTAGCAGTTAGGGTCGAAGTGTAATTCTGGGAGTAGCTGACTGAAATAAGATGTACAACTGCAGCTCCGTGGCTGAGTTTATGTATGAACAGTGAGTTCTTTTTAAAGTCATGCTTATTCACAGTCAGCACTTCTCCCCAAGTCAAAGTGTGAGATTTTTTTTTAAATAGTATCTGCCAATAGCACCTGGTTCATTCTAAAAAGGCGTTGAAACAAAGTTAAGCTTTTATCCGAGATTATCACCCTGCCCAGGAAAGCCACCCACACGGGAATTATGCAGATACATAAGGCAAAGTCTGAGGGCTTGGCAAGGTTTTCAGTTGACAAGCAGTGCTAAGGAGCCTGGCAGATCTTATCTGAAGATGGAACATGTACAATACTGTTGAAAGTACACATCTTGGCTTATGGGTAAACGTGTCAGCAGTCTATACATGTGTGAGTTGTTTTGCTGAAGAGTAGTACAGTGTTGTCAGGGTTCATTTGCACACTTAAAAACTCTATACTTTTTGTTACCCTGGGGCAGAAAACAGTATCCCATATGCTGATAGACAACTCTTGAGCAAGCAGTCTTAACACTCTTAACCTTGTCTGTGGTCCACTGCCATCAGAGTGTGTTTCGTGGGTTAGTGTTGACCCACAGTCGCTGCTCTGTAACAAAACAGAAAGGTGGGGTTTACAACAGTTCAGTATCCCACAGTGTTGTTAAGGGGTTTTAAACAGTAACAATGTACTTTTGACAGTAGATAGTAGAGACACTCTCCATCTGGTCCTTCTTCAGGGACTGACAGGTGTGGGATGACTTGCTCCAGCCGGGTGGAGCTCCTTGAGGGAGCAGCTTGCTCCAGGACTCCGCTCAGATAGATCTGTGCATCTTCAAGGTCCTACCTTAGAGGAAGGTTCTTTCACTAGAAACCCTTCTCTCTCCTCTTCTTGGGGCAGAGGGATAATCATTATACTTATTTTCTTTTATCTCACTATTATAATTTTCCCAGAGTTAGTAGTATTGAATTATTTCCTGCAGATAACTTACAGTCCTCTCTGAAGACTTCTAAGATTTTAGAACACTTAAAAGAAGACAGCTCAGAAGCTTCAAGTCAAGAAGAAGGTAATTGTAGACCACTAGACTAAGTCTGCACACACTGACACAGTCAGCACAGAGGAGAGAGAGCCGAATGGCACCTCAGTGCAAGGGCAGGGAAGAGGTCGCTCGCTCCATTGCAGTGGCATTTCATCTGTATTTAAATAGATAAAGCCTGCCTGAAGATCAGAGAGTAAAACAGCCCCACTGCTCAGCCTTACAGATCAAGCAGTGGTGACACACACCTTTAATCCCAGTAACCACACTAGTTTGGCATAGAAACCCGGCAGTAGTGAGTGGTGAACACCTTTAATCCTGGCATTAGAGAGGATTATAAAACCAGAGGAGACAGTCCTCAGACTGTCTCATTCTGAATTCCTGGAGGCAAGATCGCCATTTTGGACTGAGGTAGAGGTAAGAGCCTGTGGCTGACTGTTTTGCTTTTCTGACCTTCAGGTTGAACCCCAGTTTCTGTCTCTGGGTTTTTATTAATCGAGCTACACTCCATGGTATTGTCACCATGAATTGACTTCCTATATGAAGTATGGGTTAATCACAACCTACCATATGTCATACACAAAACTTTCAAGGGAATAACAACGATTTGCAAAATCTTAAAGTTTTATGTATAAACCTGGGGCAAGAAAGCTTTGTTTAATAAGGCAGATCTAATCTTTTTTTGTTTTTCGAGACAGGGTCTCTCTGTAGCTTTGGAGCCTGTCCTGGAACTAGCTCTTCTAAATCAGGCTGGCCTAGAACTCCCAGAGATCCACACGCCTCTGCCTCCCGAGTGCTGGGATTAAAGGCGTGCGCCACCACCACCTGGCTAAGGTGGATCTAATCTAAAGCAAGAATTTAGTATATGACCAAAGAGCCCAGATACTTTTAGAGGACAGTCAGGGAACTGACTGGAAGAAGACTGATTGCTCACAGTTAAAGGATCCATCTACAGAAATCAGTGAAAAAGTCATCCTAACAGAAATGTGAGTAAAAGGCATAGCTAGCAAACACGGATGACGAAACGCTGGAGGTGATTAGCGTGCGGCCTTGCAGGTAATTGAGTATTTGAAAAGAAGGACAGTGAGAACAGTGCATATTCCTCAGGCGGGTGAATCATTTTCAAGTCTGATGCCACACATGATGGCAAAGAGAGCACAGCCGTAATCAGTGAGATGTAAATTTGCAACGTGTTGGCCCAGAATTTGTCACGTTGCAGTGAGCTGGAGATGATGGCTGCTCATTCCTCACCTGTGAAACTTGGCCGTGTGCTGTGTGTGCTGTGTGTGCTGTGTGTGCTGTGTGTGCTGGGCAGGAGCTGAACACTCCACAGCCCCATAGAAGCTTATGAATGTACGTCCAGATGCAAGTAGTTAGAGTGGAGCTCTGACTGGAGTGGATGATTGAAAGGTGACGCTTAGCCTTATCTCATACCTTGTTTCTTTTTATAACATGGAGAGAGTGGTCTGGTACAGGAGCATATGTGTTTCTTACAGACTTTAATAATACGGACATCCTTTTTTAAATGGAAATAAAGAGTAAAACTCTTCATTTAAATACAGTTTGAAGTAACAGACTCATTAAATTTGCATAACTTTGAGCAAGACTGGTATGCACATCTGAGGTAATTTGGTAGCTTATTAGGTAATTGAAGATGTGTTAAGGTGTCTTCTGTAAGCTGCGTATGGTGCTGCACACCTGTAGTCTGCACCCGAGGGTGAGACAGGAGTTGGAGTCTGAGGTCACCCTGTACTGTATACAAGATCCTGTCTCACAAAAACAAGCACAAACTCCCCTTGTCAGGGACCGCCACTGCTGATCTGCTGCAGTTAGTACAGCAGATAGTGTCCTGAACTAATTCTCGTTTTTTCTGCCCTAGATGTGTTACAGCACACCGTAATCCACAAGAAACATCCCGGGAAGAGTCCCACTGTGAAGTAGGTACCTGGTTTCTAAAGCGTAAATGAATGTCTCTGTGCACCTGAAAGTCATTAACATTTAGTTGAGCTTCTGATGTATCTGTTGACCATCATCCTGCCATTTTGCCCTTTGATTTTTTTTTTAGGTGTATTACCTGCTGTTCTGTTTTATCTTTTTGTCCTACCACCTTTTATGGGAAGTTCTCTGTGGCAGCCATCATAGTGATACACTGTGTTTCGTTCTTCTGGTGGTTACCCCAAAACTTGTGCATCTCCCACCTTCCGCTTGCAGCATTCCTCAGACAACCTGAGAAACCTGGAGCACTGCCGCTTCGTTGTTTTCTGAGCTATAGATCACGATCGTCATGCGTTTTCATTCTCCTCATAGTTCTGAATTTTTTGACAACCTTTTCCATGATTCATTTTGGTCCCTTTTTGCTCCTTGTCCCTAAGCACCTATCTATGACGGTTTTCCTTTTAAATGAGAGCACTGTTTCCTGAACTGTATCTGTACATGGTGAATGTAGTTAGGCCTTGTGGTATGTGTATATACATTTCGTATTACTAGATAATGGACATAGGTGTTCACAAATACTAGGTAAGCCCTCTCTACACTGAGTGCTATTTAAGTTTTTAATATGAAGGAGAAAAGTATGGTTTGCCTTCATTTTCTTTTAAAAAAAATAATAAATTTTTTCATCATTTGCCTTCTTTTTTTTTAAGCCTTTTTGCTTGTTCTGTGGTTCTAGGTTGGCAGTTATTTCCTGTTAGCTCTTCGAGTCTGTACTTGGACTGTCTTCTGGTCACATAGTTCTTACCCGTTGTGCACGGATGCCGTCAGCCTCCTCTGATGTCTCTGGCAGATCACATAGAATCATTGTGTAATGTCTAGCTCACACAGCAATAGTTAGCCCCACTCACTCAAGTGCCGCAGGGCTTCCTGCTTTCTGAACTGGAGCCCTTGCCGATTCTGTGGGCATCTGCTTCCTGTTTTTGTAGGTCTTGGAGCTCCTTTGCGTATGGCAACCCTTGTTCCTCCTCTCTGAGAAAAGACTGCCACTGTAGACTGCTCTGGAGTCTGAAGCCATCACTCCTGTTACTGAATCAGTCTCTGCTGCTCTTTTGGTAGTTTTTCCTTCTGCTGCTTTTGGGTTTTTCTCAGTTGTCTGCGATAGACTTTGTAGCTGTTTTTGAATTAATTCTGTTTCTAGGATCTGTAACTTATGCCTTTTGATTTTACAAAATTCCTAACTTGTGTCTTCAGATATTCTTGTTCTATTCTTCTGAGCCATCTTGTAAGAGTCACTGAGGTCCTGTGAGCTGGGCTGTTCATACATCCCACTTAGTTTTTATATTTTTGTTAGTTTTTTTATTCTCAAGTATATTTTCTTCAGACCAAACTTCTCATCTAAGTTTTCCTCATCAGCTTCCATCCTCTGAATTTTCACACCATTTTTGCAGTTGAAGACTTCCGGTGACTTTGCAGAGTCCTCTCAGTTTGTCCCTGGTGACTTCATTCTCTGGATGCGTTTGGCCTGTCATCTTGTCCGTATTTTGAGGGGTCCCTCCCAGTCACTCTGGATTGATCATCCGTGTGCCTGTCCATACAGTTCCTCACACAGCAGTTCTTGCCTGATGTAGGCTCTGCAGTGTCCCCGTTGAGCTGACTGACAGTGGAGCAGGGGCACCTCAGTCACACAGACTCTAATGACAAGTACACTTGCTGATAAATTACATGTTCACTTACTTCATAGGGTATACTTGTTTCTGTATGCCTATATGCTGATCACTAGACCTCCAAAGGCAGAAACTAAGAGGTGAGAGGAAGCGTCCCTGTAGCTTCTTCACTGAGGTGGTAGATAGGTTAAGTTAGGGGACAGACTTCACACTTCGCGTGCTTTCCTTTCACCAGCAGTGTTGGTACGAGCTGCTCTCCCCTGGACGGGCTTACCATGCAGTATGCAGAACAGAATGGAGTTGTGGATTGGAGGAACCAAGGTTGTGCCGCCATCCAGCACCCAGAGCACTGTATGACCTCGACTGACCAAGTATGTGTCAGGTTGGCTTTGGTGCCATTTGGTTAAAGCATGGCCACTCTGTATTTCCTAAGAAATGAAGTGTTGTGTCAGGTGGCTTATCTGGTAAGAAGTGAGGAAATATCTCCGTGTGAGGCTTTCTCCTTGTACATAATTGAATTCCTCTGTGGTCTGAAAAGGTATATCTAGATGATTTTGATCGTTTGTGCAAGACTGATACAACTTAATAAGGCACTTAGTGTCTTTATTCCTAGTTCTACGTGTTCATTAAATAGTTCCAAATTATTATTATTTATTTGGATCTCAAAGGATTATTCACCTGTGAAATCACTATCTTATATGACGATAGGAATTTTCAAACTGGTCTTTCCTTGTACGTGTCCACAGAGGTAATGTTTCCAGAACGTTGAAGAATACCTGAAAGCCCTGTCTCTTCCTGTGCATTAATGCAGAGCTGTGGTGAACTTTCCAAGGCTGACCACAGTGACCACTGCTATAAAATAAGTTGTAGCCGTATAGTATCATAGCGTATGTGGTTGTGTTGATGGCACAGCTGCTCTCACACAGTAGTGAGTATGACATAGATGTGCTGGATACAGGGTGGTTGTGTCCCTGGAGGGTGGAACAAAGCGAGATTTCACTCCGCTCAGAAACAGGAATTTAGGACTAGGCCGTGTTCACTTGTAAAAGTTCCCATTAGTATGCTTTGGACTGGTTGACTTTGGAAGGTCAAAGTGCAATGAAGGAGACCTGCAGTCAGGTAAAGGAAACATGGAGATGTGTTTTAGAGCAGTTTTCTCATGTCAGATTATGTACATGTTAGTGCTCCTGCGGTAACTGGAGAAGTGGGCTGGAGACGGAGATGTTAGTCTGTGATGGAAAACTGTTAGAGTGAGGATCCTGTAGCAGTGTGCTGTAGCTGAGGTCTGTTTGTTCTCTCTACTAGCCCTCTGCTGAAAAACGGAGCTTATCTTCAGGAAGTAAGAAGAAAGGGAAGCCACAAATAGAAAAGTAGGTTCAATTTAATGTTTCCAGTAATAAAAAGTAGGAAAGACAAGCATGCAGTGTTTGGATATGGATGTATTTAGTGTATCTATATAAATAGTATATTCCATTGGTGTTGCTTTGCCTTTTTGTTTTGGGATTGACGTTTGTAGTTGAAATTATCACCGTGCAGGTGACGGAAGAGAAGCTGCTGTGTAAGGTTGTGCTCGGTGTGGAGGGCGGAGCTCAGAAGCACGCTGAGTGCTGACTTGCTAGGTCTTTGTTAGAATTTACTGTTAATTATTATGGAGGATTTTAGTGATACTGTATTTAATGTTTTTGATAGAGGGCCTTACAAAAGTGTTGATTTCATATGCATATCTGTTTGGTTTAGGGAGAAAATGAAGAAAACCGAGAACAGACCGAATAGTAGAATAAACGGTATTAGACTCTCGACTCCGCAGCACGCTCCTGGAAGTGTGGTGAAAGGTAAGGTCGGCTTCTCTTCTCAAGTGTGGCGTCTTGGTGGATGCTGAGCTGTTGTGTCAAGCCGTCACGTGGCGTGTCAGCAGTGGCCTGCTGCAGAGCTGGCCGGCTCCGACGTTATGGAGGTCTTGTCTCAGCTTTGTGGGCCACCCTCTGGGAAATCTCGACGCTCCTGTCAGAGTCAGTGTTAGAAGGTTACTGACATTTTTATAATTTGATGACTGACTTAACGGAGTTTTGTTGGACTAGGTTGTTTAGCTTCCATGCCTACCATCTTTAAGGTATGGGTTTTAAATCCCTCTGTTAAGGTTCAGGTTCATCTGATGGAAAAAACCTTTTTTTCCCCTAGTTCATTAGTTGCTTTTTTGTGTGTGTATTTGCATGCAGTATTAATTGTCAAGATAAAAATAAGTAAATAAAAAGCCACCTCTAGGAGAACATTCTGTGTGCACCTGACATTAATTAACTAGCTAATTTCACGAGCAGTTGTTTTTGTTTGTTTTGCATCTTACTGTCCTGGCAACACATTAATTTATGACCTAACAAACGTAACAGGAATGCTTCTTAATTAAGGTATATTTTCAACCAGATGTTCATAGAGAGAGGCTAAATAGTATAGAACGAAAAATGATTGTATTTTAAATCTCAAATCATGCCAGTTTATTGACTTAGCTAAACTGAGAGTGAGTTTTCTATTGCTGTGATAAAACACCATGACCAAAGCAACTTATGAAGGAAAGTCTTTATTTAGGGCTCACAGTTTCAGAGGATAAGTCAGTGACCACAGAAGCATGGCAGCAGGCCAGCAGGCGTGGTGCTAGAGCAATAGCTGATAGTTTGTTCACATCTTGACCCACAAGCAGAATCAGAGAAAGCTAACTTGGAATGGTGTGGACTTTTTGAAACTTCAAAGCCAGTGACACACCTCCTCCTGCAAGGCCACGCCTCTTCATTGTTCCCAGATAGTTCAAGTAACTTGAGTCTAGGGGAGCATTCTCATGCAGACCAGGTGTGGTCCAGGAGCGTGTTGGAGCCCATCTGATGTTCCAGATGGTTTGTCTGCTGACGGCTATCTGGAAGTCACTCCTGCCAGGGCTTCATGTCTTTGTTCCCCTGGCTCATTTTCCATATTGCTTCCATGTTTGACTTCAAAGAACGTATTTAGCTGAGTCACTCTCCTGGGCAAGTTCCGTGTGTACCACCCTCTGTGAGGTTCCACTGCCCCTCATTTCACACACTCCTGAAACTCCTGCTCCCCCAAGGTGCTAAGTATTTTTAATCTCAAATATCCAGAAAGCATCACATGGACTTCATTGCCATTCAGGGTTGGTTTCCGTGCCCCTCGTTTCTTAGATGTGTGGTCTCTCAGGTGTGTTGTTGTGTGAGGCAGGGATAATGCCTCCCGCACGATTGTAAGGACAGGTAACAGGTTGTGGGCAGACTGAGCAGCACCGAGGGAAGGGCACAGGCACCTACTTCCTGTTCCTCGTGCTGCTGAATGAGAAGACAGGACACAGCTCCAGGCCGTCACAGCCTTGTAGATCCTCAACTCCAGTTCCCTTCCCTTTATCTCTTGAATTTTCAGATTTTATGATCATAATCAGACTTTTTTAGTAAGTCAAACCTTGCTCTAATTGGGGGTTGTTTGTTTTGTTTTTGATGTTTGTGTATCTATCTAGATACAGATATGTGTAATTGGCTCTTTTTTATCAAAAAGAACTATGAATAGAGTGTACTTTGAGAGCATCATGTCTCATTAATGCCTTAATGTAATTCGGATGCATGCTAACCCCAACCTAAGAAAACCTCTAAAATATTAAAGTGTCAATGAAGAACAGCCTTTAAGTCTTCAGTAGACTGGAAATAATTGTTTTCTTCCCATATGGAGCAGCAGCTATCGTGAAATGCAGGTGTTAGAGCTGAGGTGCTGGGTCCTTCTGATTAGTGCATTGTTCAGACCTAAACACACTGTAGCCCATCTAAAGATAGGTATCATTTACTTTTTAATTTTTAAATTTGTATTTTAAATTCTAATTTCTCCTTTGATTGATAGTATATTCATATATCTCAGAAATATGAAAGGGAACAAAGTAAAGATCTTTCACTGCTCCCTTGTGTTTTCTGCTTCTGGGAAGCAGTGTGTGCTGTTAGTCATCACTGTTGACATCACGTTTTCTTTGAAAACTTGATGTCTCAGTAGTAGGGATGGTGGTACACTCCTGAAATTTCAGGACTTTGGGGGCTGAAGCACAAATATTATCAATTCAAGGCTGGACTAGACTACTCAGTGAAACCATGTCTTAAAAAAAAATGCTTTTATAGCTCTATTCTAAAGAGATGTATGCATTGCCACACAGAGACCATTAAGAACTTAGCTTTGGGGCTGAAAAGGTGGCGCAGTGCTTAGGAGCACTGGCCGCACAGTCATGAGGACTTGTTCATACTGCAGCACCTACAAAATGAACTGGTGTGATCTTGCAAGAGCCTTTAGCCCTCAGCTGCAAGTTCTAGGGAGACAGAATCTGTAGACTTCAAAGGTAGCTCAAAGTGGGGCTACCGGGCTGATTCTACAAGAAACAAATTCTGATTAAGTTAATAAAATTGACTTGTTCTTCTTTGCCTTTGTTTTAAATATGTATTTATCGGCTACTTAATAAATTTGAACATAGCTCAAATTTTAAGTGTTGTAGGAAAACAAATAATTTATAGCTACAACTAATTTTTAATAGTTCCCTTTGAAAATTAATTAACTATTTAACATAACTTTAGAGTTGTTATTTCTAGATATGAACTTGGACATTGGATCGGGACATGACACCTGTGGAGAAACGTCTTCAGAGAGTTACAGTTCTCCGTCTAGTCCACGACATGATGGGAGAGAAAGTTTTGAAAGTGAAGACGAAAAAGACAGAGGTTTGCTTTTAGCAGAGGGAATAGAAAGAGGTGGGGGCAGATGAAACTATTACCTCTTAAACCACCCGCTATAGACTTAAAATTGTTACCAGGTATTTAAAGAGGCATATGAAATGAAACATGCGTGGAATGGGATGATAACAGGGGCAGGGCCAGCACAGGGCCGGGTTTGTGGAGACGGTGTTGGGGGAGCTCCACACTTACGTCTCTAGTGATGCCTGGGTTACTGCTTTCCAGAGCTGCTGTCTATGGACTGGTAAGGATCTGGGGTTAGGATTAGGGGAGGGCAAGGTAAAAGGTTGTAAGGATCTCTGTTCTTAAGAGGTTGACCTATTTCTCTTACACACGCTATAAAGCTCCAGGCCGTTAGTTCATTTCTACCTTTCTAAGGGAATTGATTTTGACATTTTCTGCTATTGTTCTCATTGGAGGGCCTTACTCGCTCTTCTGGTCTGACAGTAAGAGCCCCTGGAAAGTCTGTATTTACTAAGGATGCTCTCCTTCATGTGTGCCATCCACAACCGCTGGCTGGCATGGCAGTAAAGGTACCGTGTCTCAATTTCCCTGTTAAAATTCTTACACCATGGCATTTCAGCCAGAAGTGGCTTCTTGCTGCACAGTTTTAAGTTCGCTGGGACTTCAGGTTCTGTGTCACTGTCATAGCCTGAATCACACATAACTGAGGGTGAGGTTCGTCCTCACCCTGTGCCTGTTGCATAGTCAGATCAAACGAAGCCTGCAGCGGTCAGTGCTGCTGACGTGAAGCCGCTGTGCTTCTGCAGTTTTCTCGGTTATTGTACCTGGTTCTGTGCAGTGTGCAGATAATTCTGAGTCTTGAGCGGATGTCACCTAGTTGTCAGATCTGTGGGTAGCTCTTGTAGCACCCCTTTCTTGCTCTCAGAGCTCTGTTAATAGGCCTGTGTAGAGGACTTTGTGTCCCCAAAGACCGAGTCCCTTAGAGTGCTCCCAGACGCACACTGGGATGGAAAGCTTTGAACACTTTCCAAGTCTTGAGTACACACAAAGGCCTTCAGAGGTGTGTGGCTTTGTTGTTGTTATGATGCCTTGCGACTTTCTGCTTCCCAAAGTCAGTACAAAAAGCATGACCCCTATAGTGCTTCAAAAACCACAGGGTTACTACTGTGACTGCAGACTTAAAGCTTTAATTCGTATGAAAATTTAGCTGACCATCTATATGAAAGATGGCTTCCTTTTTTTTCTGACTTGATTTTTGTTAACGCTGCACTGATGGATAGTGAACATCCAGCGGCTTGAAGAGGTTATTTAAAGTTTAGTAATAAGTAGTGTGATACTTTACCTATTAGGGAGCATGTTTGCTATAACCGTTCGGTCATTAGTGTAAGTGCCCCTCTAATATAAATTGAGACAGTTCAGCTAATAACACTTGATATTCTGTGTTTGGCTTTTCTTTAGGGAGGTTACTCTTGATACACTTGTTTCAAGGATGTATAGCATTGTCAACTACCTAGAACCACTTTTTACCTTAGTGAACTCTAAGCGCCAAGTGTAATGCTGCTTAGGTGATGAACAGAAAGTCTTACAGTCGGCGCGATGTCTAACTGTTGTGTAGACTGAAGTGCCGTGCTCACCATATATACACAGTGCACCAGTTAGTACCGTGGCTACTCTGCCGTGTCTGGAAGCTGGAGTGGCTTCTGTGTGTACCGTGGAATACACAAGTGCAGGGCAGTTCTGTGTCTGCAGTGTAGTTGTCAAGAAATAGTGGTGCTTGTTTTCTTATCCTGCGCTTTGTGTTCCAGAATGTTCATGGTAGGACTAACACAAGTAGTTTTAAGTGTTCCCTGCTGAGTATGTAATGGTACAAATTCTTAGTCTGTTTGCTACCTTAAGCATTTGAGTTAAATATTGTCCTGACCATAGTTCTTAAATTAAACATTAGTAAGACAAATTTAAAATCAGGTTTATGATGGTACAGAACTAAGTAGATTACCTAAAACTGCTACGTAATGCTTTTTTCAGTAGTACAGTCATGTGTCACACTGGGTGACCTTTGTTACTGTGAGAGATTAAAATATGCTGAGAGCCAAAGGCCAGCAGAAGTCAGCGTGGGCAGTTGACACCCTCCAGACTTAAATTCATCTCAGATATACCTGGATGTTAGTTCTAGTAAGAAAAATAGGAATTGAGCCTGGGTTAATCCATGTTTGTATGTTTTCTTTAGACACAGACAGCAATTCTGAAGATTCTGGGAACCCATCAGCAGCCAGGTTTACAGATTATGGCTCTGTCAACCAGACCATTGCTGTCAAGCCTCCTGTCCAGATTCTCTCACTGGGGAGCGAGAATGGAAGCCTGTTAGAAGCCCCGCTGACCTCACACAAGTACCCGCATATCCCCTTCATGCCAGCGCTGCACTGTGTCATGCACAATGGTGCCCAGAAGTCAGAAGTTGTCATTCCTTCACCCAAATCTGCAGATGGCAAAACAATAGGGATGCTTGTTCCTAATCCTATGGCTATTTCTACAGTGATGGAGTCTACAAATTCAAGCCCTGTTGGAATCCTAGGCCCAACAGCTTCTGGAGAAACAGAGAAACACCTGGAATTGTTGGCTTCCCCGTTACCAATCCCGTCATCTCTCCTTCCACACAGCAGTGCTCCTGCTCTGCAGCTGACATTGCAGAGGCTAAAATTGCCACCTCCGCAGGGGTCTTCTGAGAGTTGCACAGTTAATATTCCACAACAGCCAACCGGAAGTCTGAGCATGGGATCACCAAACACTGCCTTTATTCCTGTCCATAACCCAGGTAGTTTTCCAGGATCTCCGGTGGCTGCCTCGGACCCCATCACAAAGTCTGCATCCCAAGTGGTAGGACTCAATCAAATGGTGCCTCAGATTGAGGGAAACACAGGGACAGTCCCTCAGCCTACCAATGTGAAGGTAGTTCTTCCTGCAGCTGGCCTCTCAGCCGCACAACCACCAGCTTCCTACTCCTTCCCAGGCTCGCCCCTTGCTGCCAGTGTGCTACCCACCCAGAATTCCAGTGTGCTCAACACAGGCACTTCTGCCCAGCCAACAAGTGGAGGCATCGGTCAAGCCCAGTCCCCAGCTCCTCCTGCTGTTCCTACCCACACCCCAGGCCCTGTCCCCAGCCCCAGCCCTGCCTTGACACACAGTACTGCTCAGAGTGACAGCACATCCTACATTAACGCTGTGGGCAGCACGAACGCTAATGGGACCATAGTGCCGCCACAGCATGTGGGCTCGGGTCCTTGTGGCTCCTGTGGGCGAAGGTGCAGCTGTGGGACCAATGGGAACCTCCAGCTAAATGGTTACTATTACCCCAATCCCATGCCTGGACCAATGTACCGAGTCCCGTTCTTCACTCTGCCCTCCATTTGCAATGGCAGCTACCTCAACCAAGCACATCAGAGCAATGGAAACCAACTTCCTTTTTTTCTGCCTCAGACTCCATATGCAAATGGACTGGTGCATGACCCAGTCATGGGGAGCCAAGCCAACTATGGCATGCAACAGATGGCAGGATTTGGGAGATTGTATCCTGTGTATCCAGCACCTAATGTAGTTGCCAATACCAGTAGTTCTGGGCCCAAGAAGAATGGGAATGTGTCATGTTACAATTGTGGTGTGAGCGGACACTATGCACAGGACTGTAAGCAGTCGTCCATGGAGGCCAATCAACAAGGTAATCACACTAGCTCCCAGAGGACTTGTTTCTGAGTTCCCCCATTCCTTCTTCCTTCCTGATTATGTGCTTCTGTCTTAGCAGAAAAGATCCGTTCGTGTGTTTGTTTACAGAGGCTATATTTTCAGTGACAAATCACAATGCAAGCAGAGAAACTGTAGTGTAGATCCAGGTCATGTAGCACAGGGAAGGTTAGAGGAATAAACACCAGAGTTACAATCCTCTTTCATAAGAGGAAGCTAAGGTACCTGAGACACAAGGTTTTCAGTCTGGTTAGTCAGTGTGCAAGCAGTTGGCTCACGTGTGCCCGTGCTGTGTCCTTCATTCTGTACGTGTCGGGGAAAGTTAAGTACAGAGTGATTTGGACAGAGTTTGGGGGATAAGAGTGGAGTTGAACAGTGCCAACACCCAGAAAGAAGAACGTGCACTCAAACGGGTGTGGGTGCAGGGCCAGGTTCAGTTCTGACTGCTCCTCTCTCGTGCACTTGGCCATTGTAGTTGTGCCAAAGTCTTATCCAGAAAAGGTCTTGAGTCAGGCAGATATCAGGTCCTCTCAAAGGGAAATCCAGCTAAATAGCTTTAGGTTATACATGAAGCACAAGCTTGCCGTTGCTTCTGGGAGAGAATAACTTCTTTGTCATTGTGGAGCAGAGTTAGCGCTGAAGCAGGGCCTTTGGTAGCATGCCCATTGCAGCCTTGTGTAGTGGTTTGTGATACATGGAGTCATAAGCGGTGACTTAGCCGTTCTGTCTTTCCTGTTTTAGGCACTTACAGACTGAGATACGCACCTCCCCTCCCCCCTTCTAATGATACGTTGGATTCTGCAGACTGACCGAGTAAAGCCTGCCTACTTAATGCACTCAAGTGTGGGGAGTCATGGGTGTGGAGGGGAGGAAAGGAAAGGTATTTTGTCTCTTTGTCTGTCTACTGTCTACATTTCCATGCAGTTGGAGTTTTCATTTCTCTTGTACCAATGTCCAAAATAAGGAAGAATGCAGAGCTCCTGAGCCCCTGGTCCCCGGGTCAACAGCAGGCCTGGATGACACGTGTAACGTAACTTCAGACAGACTCTGGAACGAAAAGCGTTGCTGTGTGCTTTTCTACACTGACTACTTGCTGTGTGCAATGTTTACTGAATCTGAACTGTGTCGACCTTATTTGTCCTCACAATACTGGCCTCGGCGTATGGTTTCTCACGTTGACCCTGGCCTGCCGCGGGAATGCTCAGCACTGCGCCTGTCGTGCTTCTGTGACCTGCTCTGTATGACAGGGAACATGTCCCACCATTCATTGTAGAAGTCAGATCCCTGAGAAGTATGTATATATGTCATAAAAAACGCCACGTAAATACATATATACAGCACTTACCCACGTACCCTGGGAACAAGTGGGAGAGCGAGTCAGGCTGGGGAGCTGAAGCTGCAGCAGACGGCTTTCCTTCCATCATACAGACAGACAGGGTGAGCGCACCGTGTGGATGGTGTCTGTACGCTTGTGTCTGTGATGCCTGTCAACAGCCAGTTCTCCTGGTGACACACTGCTTGAGTGGAGATGTCCTTCTGCTGCAGCACCAGCTGTGACGGTGGCACATATGTTTACATGTGTATGGTTGTCTCGTCTGCTCCCCAACCCGTGTCACTTTTATAGCCGCTACCACGATGCTGATGATGATGTGAACGACTGGACTGAGTGGGCTGAGACGTTTACTCACGGCAGTGTCATGCGCTGAGTTTAATGCTGCTGGGGTTTGGTTTGTGTGTGTGTTTTTTTTTAAAGCCAATCTGTGTACTAAATTGCTTCCAGGTAATTTTTGATTTCCTGAAGTGCACTGAGGTTATCTGGGAGAGTGACTGCTGCATTCCACAGTAGTGAACAAGTACGACCACGTGGTTGTAAGCCTGAGGGGTAAGAGGGCTTCCGTTCCTCAGTAAAATCGTAGAGGCGATTGACTTGTGTTGTGGGGAATACAGTTGGGGTGTGGCAGAGGCACTGAAATGTTTGGTCTGGGTTCAGAAGCCAGACATTGTGAGACAAAGAAAAAAAAACTTGAAGAACAAAGAAGCTGTTCAACACTTTAAAGTAGCGTTTATATTTATAGCCCAATGTACATTCTGAGACCTTCAGGGGAGAGGAAGGGGGTGTGGCTGCGTAGGTAAGAGCTTTAATTTAGAAGGAAATTATTTTGATTAAATATATTTTATTTGATCTGGGTATTTTTGGACCACATTATTAATTGCTAAGCTGCGGTTGAGTTGTTCGGGGAGAGTATCTAAGCCTTGTCCAGGTGACTGGAGCTCCTGTTAGGATTTCCAATACTGTACTGTACATAGGAGGTGTGCTGCCTTCTCGTTTGTATGTTTACCATACACTTTGATATTGAAATGTTATGTACTGGAAAGGCCACTTATATTTCTAGGACAGATTGGATTTTATGCAACCTTTTTCCTTGAATTAACAGCAATAAAAAAATGAAAACAGCTTAAGAATTGTGCCTTATTGCAAGTTTTATAAAACTAAAAATGGGTTTTTGTGGGGATTTTTCTTTTAAAGAATCAGTTCCTTTCCCCCCTCACGTGGCAGTGTCTCCCACAGGACTCCTGGCCTGCCTGGTCTCCATCTTCTAGTGTGGTTGTGCTTCAGCCTCTAATGGAAGGGAAACCCCTGTCTTCCGAGAAACTACACTTCTGATTTAGGGTCCCCCTCACCAACCCCATAGCACAAAGGATCCAAATTTAGCATTTTGTTTTCTCTCTCTTTGGGGGTGATTGGGGCTGTTGGAGGCACACAGCTATCATGGTTCAGTATTGGGCCTTTTTCTTATCTTTGGTTCTTGTGTAATCCGGTTTGAGTAGACGTCTAAGACATTGGAGGCCGTGGGCCTGCCGTGGGCCTGCCTCCACTGACACACTTCTCCACCAAGGCCACACTTCCGAAGCCTCCCCAAGCCGTCGCCAGTCACCGTCGGGAACTAAGTATTCAATGCCAGAGACTGTGGGGGACATTTCTCATTCAAGCCTCAGCAGGCACCAGTTGGCCTGTCTCCCCACACCAGTCCCCAGCTTCTGTTGCTCACCTGTTCACTGCTGTAGAAGCAGTAGCGTTGTGCTCTTTCTGGCCCGCTGGGGCTAGGCCTGCTCATCTGGTTCATGACCCGTGCTGGGTTCCCGGTGCTCATTTTCACGCCTTGAAATAGTCTCAGAGGGATGAGTATGGATAAATGCAGCCATGTTCTGTCAGTGAACATCCAGGAAGCTTGCTTCTCTCTTTCCGCTGACAGGGGTGCCAGGAACATTTTTTGTGCTGTTTTGGTTTGTGTGTAAAAGTTTGTTAGGGCATGCAGTCATATGATTCAGGTATGTTGGCTTTCCAAGACACGCCACGTCTCCTTCCAAGTGATCCATTACTGCCCGCACTAAGGGCTCCTGGCAGTCTCCCAAGAGCTGTCACAGAAGAACAGGACATGACTCCAGAGGGGTTTTGTAGGCCTGTGGAAGAGGTGAGACGAGACCAGGTTCACGGAGGGACAAGATTTGTGATCACCGCCTGGGGAACAGGAAGCGTGGCAGAAAAAGAAATGGCTGTGTATGGTGAGGAAAGAAGGGGACTGAGGTAAATGGTACTGGTTTGCATGACTCGGGTTCCTGGAGTCACTTGAGCACCAGCGTTTGTTGTTACTGTGTGTATAACAGTTACTGTTCCAACTCCTGGAAATCTCAGTTTATATAATTCCCTAGTGGGAGGGCAACAAGGTCTTCTGTGAAGTGCTGTAGGCCAAACACACTTCCACAGGCCCTTCCTTCCCTCAGAGTCACAGCCCAGCTGCTCAACTTTGTCACTAGAACCTCTTGGCCCACAAATCCCTTTTCAGTGTTCGTGGTGTGGGTTGGGAGGTGAGGTGGGGTGCGGTGGACTCAGGTGGGGTACTTTTTCGTTGCTCTTCTCTTTGCCTCTGTGAGCTCTAATTTTGAGCCACTGTGAGAGGGGGTCCTGGGCACCAAGCACAGAAAAAAATTGCATGTTGGAAAGCCGCGCCACCTGGTGGGCGGCCAAAACAGTGCAAGCAGACAGACGCCGCTTCCTGTTGAGCTGTTTTGAGAAAATGGGAGTAGAGCATCTGACAGTAAAGAGTCTGGAGTGGCACCTCTGTCGGCTGCGTGTGGCGGCCCTGGTGGCAGTGCTGTCCCCTCTCCAGTACAGACTCCACGCTAGTATGAAAGGAGCACCATCCTCCTATTAAGGGGTGGAACTTGAGGTTCAGGGATGACATGAAGTACCACAAAATGAAGGCCAGGCCTCGACGTCAGGCCACTCACTGCCCACCTCCCTGCACCATTGCCCACCCCATGGTGACATTGAACCGAAACAAGATGGTATAAATCTGCAGGACGCTTCCTGTAAGAGGCTGGGCCGGGTGATGAGCAGACCTGCCGCACGGGTCATGTCCTAGTCCAGCCACATATCTGCTCCTGTGCTGAAGGATTGGAGGACATGAGCTAGAGAAACGTCCACGACAACCAAGCTTTACGCATTTGCGTTAAATTGCCACGATGTCAAGGTTCCCCCAACTGAAAGTTGTAAATGTGCGCAGGCCTCTACCACCAGAGGACTGCCTAACTCTACAAAGGGTTTGGTCGTCCTGTGTGTTGTAGGATATTTGTGAAACTCCTGAGTCTGTGTTAATAAAATTAACTTTGCGTGAGGGGGGCAGAGCCAGAGGCAGGTTGACGGGGATTAGCCATAGAGAATACGGAAAGATGGAAAGAGATGCACAGGAAGGAGTAGGGAGGGACTTAGAGAGTTGTCAGTTTGGCTTGGGAGGACAGAGAAATGCTCTCTTGCTGCGTCTCCGGCTGGAAAGGAGGGTCACCTGGTTGTTTTCTTGGCTTCTCTGTTCTAGCAGGTTTTTATTCCAGTTTCTGACTCTGACTCTGAGTCTATTGGTAGATAGAGACTTAGTTAACGCTACATTCAGTGGCAGTTGGCACCAGGACAGGAAATCCCACCAGGATGGAGGTGGCCTGAGAGGCAGAGCGCTGGCTGCGGGACAGCTGGGCTGCAGGTGGCGGCTAAAATACAGGTAGGCTCGGGTGGAGCCACCCAGCTACTACAACACCTGTGCATCTTAAGCATTAAGCGAATATTCCGTTAAGACTTAAGGTATTTTAAACATTGAGGTCAGATGTAACCTCTTGCAATGCCAGCACTGGGGGCAGGGTCGGCAGGAGCAGGTTCAAGAACTGGTCTACATAGTGGTCCCAGGCCAGCCAGGGCTGCAGAGCAAGACTGTTCCAAAGAAGCAAACTATTTAACAGTGAAGTGGTGCTACAAGCAGGTTCCATTCCAGATAACTATAGAGGGTCCCCCGAACATTCGAGCCCAAGATATGGGGATGACAGTCACTCCACCCCCAAAGGCCTTCTAGATGGAACTTAACTGTGCCCTGAATACAGAGTCAGCTTGTGTCAGAGGCAGGCGGTCCTAGTCAGCACTTTGTTCCGAGCGCCCACGCGTGCCACGTTTCCAGGCTGAGTAACAGAAGGACAGATGGGAATGGCGGCACCCACCTGAGCACTCGGTTTCTGACACAGCTTGTCCTCAGTGTGCGGATGCTCAGTTTAGGTCGGGCTGGCAGTCTCAGCCACACTTGCAGGCAGGACTGGGCTTCCATTTTCTAGGAACGGAGCCCAGGCAGCGAGGTGTGTGGGTGCCATCCCCCTCATCTGTGCCCATGTTAGAGATAGTTAGAGGCACACACAGGCCAGCTCTGCGATCAGGCCAACAGGATGGTTTAGGAGACGAACTTGAGTGTGGCCATCTGGTGCAGTCTGTTCTTCCTGGGCCTTTTGTTTTACTAGACAAGGTTTCAGGCCTCAGATGTGTAAACCAGCATGCCTGCACTCTCGCCGCCTTCGCCAGTGCTGGTGATGGAACCCAGGGTCTCGTGCATGCTAGACTCACTGAGTTCTGCGCAGGTGATCAGAAAGGGCGGGGGGAATTGAGTGGCACAATCTCCGGAGTCCCCTCCAGCTCCAGTGTCGTGTGGCTTCAAGCTTGACTTCCCACTCTCAGCGATTCATTGAGGTTTGTGGTTTGTGCTCCTACAGTGATGTTGGCTCAGTGACTTCACGGCAGGAAGACTGGCATTGGGAAGGACAGCCAGTAGGTGGCAGGACAGACTGCAGACTGCGCACGACCAGCTTCCTCTGCCAGTTTCTAGGCCTTTCTCAAAGTGTAGTTTTTATTTGGGAGGAGAGCTTAGTGCTCACATGAGACTTGAGGATTGACCATAAATGCCAGTCAGAAAAAAAGGCCTCGATTCTGCAAGCTAAGATGGCTTACCCTCTAAACAATTGAAATACTGATGCAGGTGGATTGAGTTTAAGGGCAGACATAGTGAGACCCTGTTTAAAATGGAAGAATTTGGATGGTGTGTGAAGTAATCCTTCCGTGTCTATGATAAAGTGTTTTAGCGTAGACTCATTGGTTTACATCGCCTACCGTTCCCCACCTGGGACTGTAAACCAAGTCGTTGTCTCACGCACACACGAGCTAACGTGGGTTTGCCTTTTTCCTTACAAAGGAGGCTGGCTGGGCTGCACATGAAGTCTGCTGACTTCCTCTTGGGAAATGAAGATGTGTTATCTTTAAAGGCCTGCCGTTCTGGAGCAGGAATCTGAACCCATCTTTAATTGGTGCCTAACACACAGTCCATCCCTCAGCAGACACTGGCAGGGAGCGCCATCTGGTGGTGGGCGCAGTCAGCATTCCAGTCATGGCCCAGATTCTCCAGGACTGGAACTGAGCACGGAACTGGGAAAGGTTCAACAAGGCCACATTTTAATTAGACTAGGAAGGGGAGTTTCCAGAGTGGAGACTTGGAGAAGGTGGCCAAGAGTGGACTAATTGATGCTGGGTTTCAGGACACCCTGGGAAGTGTTGGGTGGGGAAGATGAGAAACTGGAAGGACAGGCTGAGAGAGTCTAACCCTAGGGTGGAGGGGCACGAAGCCTCTCAGTTTTGTCAGAAATGGCTTCCTTTGACTTCTGAGTTTATGGCAGAGCAGTATCTAGGGCTGTTCCCTGTCTAGGGCTGTTCCCTATCTAGGGCTGTTCCCTGTCTAGGGCTGTTCCCTGTCTAGGGCTGTTCCCTGTCTAGGGCTGTTCCCTATCTAGGGCTGTTCCCTGTCTAGGGCTGTTCCCTATCTAGGGCTGTTCCCTGTCTAGGGCTGTTCCCTATCTAGGGCTGTTCCCTGTCTAGGGCTGTTCCCTGTCTAGGGCTGTTCCCTGTCTAGGGCTGTTCCCTGTCTAGGGCTGTTCCCTGTCTAGGGCTGTTCCCTGTCTAGGGCTGTTCCCTATCTATCTAGGGATGTTCCCTGTCTAGGGCTGTTCCCTATCTATCTAGGGCTGTTCCCTGTCTAGGGCTGTTCCCCGTCTAGGGCTGTTCCCTGTCTAGGGATGTTCCCTATCTATCTAGGGCTGTTCCC